TTAACAAGTGTGCTAGATTTCCTGCTGATAACAAAATTCAAGCTATGGAAGAGAGTAATATTAACAAGTGTGCTAGATTTCCTGCTGATAACAAAATTCAAGCTATGGAAGAGAGTAATATTAACAAGTGTGCTAGATTTCCTGCTGATAACAAAATTCAAGCTATGGAAGAGTGTAATATTAACAAGTGTGCTAGATTTCCTGCTGATATTGGCTTTAAGGGGGAAGTGGAAACGGAATGAAAACAAACTAGACTTTAACTTTCGATTTAGGATAAATTTGAAAAATGTGATTTTTGAAATATTGGGGGCGCTATTTGAGGGACAGTGCTACCTTAAAACACGATCGATATCATAAGAGTTATATTTTAAGCACTTTCACATACAAAGAAACTAATGTTACTATTCATTGTTATAACATTTGTCCATGTCTTACGCATAAGATAATACAAAACGAATTTTATGTACACCTATATTATTCTGGACAACGCAATGCCAGTTATGCATCAGTACTTAACCGTAAAGAGACAAACGAAACGCTATTTTATAATTACGTTTAAAATAAATCCTATAGTATGAAAGAAACCTTTAATTATAAACACAACACGCGTTATTAAGCACAATTTAATTAACTCTTAAACAACTTATTTTCAGCAATCATGATTTGTTAATTAGTTACAAAATGTTTGCATTAAAACACATTCACAAATGAATGAGACTATAGTCACTTCTTTCCATATACTCATGGTTATATATCGTATATAAATTTTAAAAAGCTTTAGCGTACTAGTCATAAAAGACTAAAAAAATAAAATCGTTCATGGAATGGTGAAAAATCGAGAAAGATACATTGATTGATTACATGCACTGTACAGTGCGAGAGAAAGTCCAAAGATATCAGAAATGTAAAAAAAAACGCAAACAATTTTCAGAATATCTTTAAAATGATCTGGAGGTGTTATGTCGAACGTTTAGACTATAGCCTTCTAGTCATCATTACTATAACCTTCTAGTCATCATGCTTTTAGAACAACAATGAAGACCAACTGTTAATTAGTTTGTTTGTAATTAACCACAAAGCTACACAATGGGCTATCTGTGCTCTGCCCACCACCTTTAAGGTATTCTTATAACCTAGTTATGCTATGACTTCGATCGATTGTAACTTTTCTATACCGGTTTCATCAATGGTATTCGACAATCATTTCATTCCATATGCTTCATCCTTCATGTTATCTTATAGCTTTAGCAACGTCTTTATCTGCACGATAAGAAATCAGCCGATTCAATATAAATAAAGCTGCTTAAGTCAAAATAACCTTTTTTATGTAATAACAACCCTGTGTTATTCTAATTTAATTTCATAAAACGAAACTAGCTGTTTATTGCAGTGAAGAAACAAACAGAAGACGAGTGTTCTTTTGGCTGAAGATAAAATTCAAACAAAATCACGTGGATTACAAAAAGAGCTCTGAAGAAATATACGCGTCACGGAAGCATAAATTAAAATCAATATTAAAACCATAAAAACAAAAGTATAGTGTTAAAGTTTAATGAAGAATCAAAGAGTTAAAACATAATCTTTATGGTTCAAGAAAATTGGGGTGGTGTAGCCCATTCATACTATTCTGTATGTCATAAATATATTGCAAACATTAAAGAAAAAGAGTAGCATAATTATTAGTTTTTCATAATAAAAGCAGTGATAAAATTCGTATTTTGTATAAAATCTCTGTTACTTAAATTTTTGTTATAGCTTTCCATGTAAGTTTGCACTATATATATATTTTTCTTTTTTGTAACTTTTTCTTTCATCTCTGTTGCTTTATATTTTTTTAACTTTTAAAATATATTTCACATTTATATTTTCTTGCCCAAAATATCCTGACATGTGATATTTACTGTTATAAAGCGTTGTAACATTTTCTTATTGTTCCTCTGCTACCGTTTAGTTCTTAGTTCAATTCTAACAGTTAGTTGCCTCCCAGTGGAACAGCGGTACCGTTTGTGTATTTACAACGCTATTAAACCGGGTTTCGATAATTGAAATGACGTAACAATACATGATAAGGAATAAAGAGTTTCTTTAAATGTGGTGTTCAACCAATCAGACTGAAAGGCTCAATTCAAATATATATTTTAGTGCCTTGTGTGAGGTCTATTTGAGTTTATTACTGATAATATATATAGGAACAATATTTTTTGATAAAATCTCTTCCTTTATAAGTTATTAACCTTCTAAAAGACGAACGTTTTTTAATATATGTATTTTTTTAAGTTTCGAAATAAATTTAGACAAAGATTTGTAACAAAAATTTAAAAGTGTAGAAAGTAAAAACTCAAAAAGAAATCCAACTTTTTTTTTTTTATAGAATGTTCGGATTTAAAGGGGTACAAAGACCTGTTTGTTTACTCGCAATGTTTTTCGAATATTTTATATATTTACAGAAAAAATAACTCAATAACCCCAATCCGACAGAAAAAAACAAACAAACAATATTTCTTCCGGCTCAACTATTTTTGAAATCCAATAACAAATAATGATGAAATTTCAATTTAATCGGAACATAATGTTTTTCGAACATAACTTCATTTTGAAGCAAACTATTACATTTTCCATAAATTATAGACTAAATACATCACAACTCAAAACTAGTATGAATTTTAGAGCGGGTCAAAACGGAATTAACATAATTTTGCTAATATCATGGTCAATTATTGATTTTTACAAAAAAACAACAAAACAAATTTCATATATATTCATATTCACATATACCATTAAGGTTTAAAAAAGTAATTTTACTAATCCAACTAATTCAAGATGTAGAAGAAAGTACACTAAAGTTTAAAAAGATAATTTTGCTAATCCAACTAATCTAAGATGTAGAAGAAAGTACACTAACGTTCAAAAATAATTTCACTAATCCAACTAATTCAAGATGTAGAAGAAAGTACATTAACGTTCAAAAATAATTTCACTAATCCAACTAATTCAAGATGTAGAAGAAAGTACACTAAGGTTTAAAAAGATAATTTCCCTAATCCACCTAATCCTAGATGTAGAAGAAAGTACACTAAGGTTTAAAAAAATAATTTTGGTAATCTAATCTAATTAGGCCAGGAGTGAACTAGAGGTTAACGTGCCAAGCTGTAGGTCGGAAG